TATATATATATATAAAATTCAATCTGCATAATGTATCTATTGGAATTTGATTATCTCTGTAAACTTTGCCAAACAATCTCGAGGTGGCAGTCTCTGTGTTTTCAGAAACCCGGTTTAAATTGATCTGTGCAAAGGTAAGCATCAAAGAGCACAAACTTGTTGCTCCAACAGTAGACGTGAAGACAGATTAGAATGATCAAAGAACTTTGTGAGTCTTTGATTTGGAAGTGTTTTTGAAAAAGTTTTGATTTAAAAATCCAAGCTGCAAATCTTTCTGTCATTACATTTTACTGCTTAGATGCCATTAAAAAGGCACATTTATGATGAATGGGAATAAAACTAGTCTTTGCTTTGATTAAGTATGGTAGCATATAGGGTCGTGTATGTTTTTGGAAARTGTGAACAGAAAGCGTAAAACAGAATGAGAAAGTGAAAAAATGAAAGCCACACAAATAAATAGAGGGCGAACCCAACAGCATAAAGACGTGAGCAGAATGCTTCTGCTTCAGGGAGAGGCGATATATAGTTTAGTCAGTGGCAGCAGGTCATGACAAAGCCTTTAACAGTAATGTCCCGGGAGTCGTCTCGCCCAGAGGACCCACACTTCATTTTACAGCCAAGCAACTGAGACAGAACGCTGYAGCGTGACGTCTGCAACAGAAACGCTGGCCTCTGGTTCCGTCTGTGAAATGACGGTGGCAAACATGGCACTGATATCGCCACACAACACCAAGCCCGAGGCCACTCCAACAGCTGGAGTGTTGAGTGATGAAGAACAGAGTCAGGGAAAGGGATGAAAAAGAAACGGGCCAAACAAAAGAAACGCAGGAGGAAAATGAGTGAGAAGATATTTTAGCAGGTTTAGACAAAGATAGGCAGAAAAGAGAAGATTCTCAAAGGCCAATAAATGAAAGGATTTAAGGCAGGAGAGTCACTGAGGTGCAAGATGAAATACATGAAATCAAAAAATCTAAAACAATAAATYCCTGTGAAAGTACTCAACCTTTTTGGTATTGAACTATTTTATTATTTYATCCTGCCTTAAAAGGAGTTTTCATCCACTCCACAAAATAACCTTGAGATGCAAGACTAACCAAATATAAACAAATATATGAACAAACATTTTTGAACATACATTTTTACCCCCTGTTTTAGCACTGAAAGCTRCAAGTCTCTTGGGAATTATTCTTTTTCTAGCAACTGGAATTGTTTCAAAAACTGCCCTCAACTCAAATAAAGTCGATGGGATCCAATTGTTTAGAGCAACCTTTGGCTTTTCTTGTATTTGGCATGATTATGTTCAGAAAAAAAAAACATCAGTTTGGATTTTAGTTCTCTGAAATAAACAAACCAGTTATAGAAGCAGGGCTACCACAGCCATGACACAAATCCAGTGTGTGATATAATTATATTAGTATG